CACACACACACAAAAAAAAAAAAACAGCACGTACACGCACACACCCCACATGCTCGCGAGTGTATTCAATTGATGTTAGGGCCTGCGCCGGAAGTGAAGCTCCCCAGGTACCAAGAGCCCAGTTCCCAACATCTACCCGCTTCTCCATGATCCAAAGCAACCCAAGCCTCCAATCTGCCAGTAGCATTGCCTCATCCCTGCACCTTGGAATCTGAAGTCAAAACCCCAAAACCCCTAAACCCGGAAAGCCTAAACCCCTAAACCCCTGAACCCTCAATCCAAGACGAGACGCTCTTCAGCATTTCTGCTTCCAGATAGCTCACCGTCACGGCCTCGCCCGAACGCACGGGCTGTGTCGCACGCCACTCCTGGGCTCAAAACGCTCGGTTTTTACAGCAGGGTCGATTAGGGGTTTAGGGTCTATTAGTAGGGGTTTAGGGGTTTAGGGTTTAGGGTTTTAAGGGTTTTAAGGGTTTAGGGGTTTGGGGGTCTAGGGTGATGTCCGTCGGGTTTAGTTGCAGTTTTATGAAATAGAACTGCAGATTTGAGCTGATTATTTGGGACATGTTGCTATTGCTCAAGGGAGGGTAAGTGCATGTGCGACAAAGATCGGTGGGAGCTGACGAGGTTTGATGGCCCCTGCTGGCCTGAGCGACTGCTTCACGCTGCGCTTGCATTAGTGTACGTATTCGTATGTGTAACGGCGAGACACCTCTTTAAGAGCTACAGTAGTGTGTAAGCTTGTTTGCTTATGAATGTATGTGTGTGTATATATATATACATACACATGCAGGCCAGTTCATACTGGCAAACCGGTGCAACAGCAGCATCTTTTGTCACCCAGGCACCCCTATCCAGATTCGCTTCGCCGAGGTTTTGAGCCCCAGCCGCGCAGCCAGGGAGGCATCCCCCGAGCTGAGGTAGAAGCAGGCGTTGGGTTCGCAAGAGTGCCTTAGACATGAAGAGCCTTTTGGGAAAAGTTCCTGACACTTGCCGAATTCTAGAAGCTAAACCGATCACCAGCTTTGGCACTCGAAGAGGGCCCCGATGCAGAAGACGGCCTGGGAGCAGAGGATGAGCACTGCTACCGAGTAGAGGCTCATCTATAAGACTATACCAAGAACATGTACTACCGGGACTTAATTACTCTAAACTCGAGGGCTGCGGTTACAGGGCATCGACTTCTCCACTTAGGAGGGCAGCAGCTTGCCTTCTACTCCTACTGGTACCGCTACCAGTACCGCTGCTAGTACTGCGATTGCTACTGCTACCGCCACTGCTACTGCTACTGCTACTGCTACTATAGGCCTTCTCCTTTTTCTGCTACTCATGCTACTCCTTCTCCTGCTCCTTCTCGACCTTCTTCTACCACTACTACTGGTATTACGACTACGACCATGACTACGGCTGTGGCTGCGACGACCACGATTACGACATCTGATGCTCCTAGCTCATCATGCTGTGCAAACAAATCGTTGCAAGCTGGTTCTACCACCATTAATCGTTCTTCCTGTTGCCTCAACGACTGCCGGCACATTGAGCAAGTTGTAACACGATTGCTGGAATCGTCCACCTCGTGCTTACCGACCATCCGTGTGTTTCCGCTTCTCTTCTGTGGTCGGCAACGTTGGAAAGCTCCGTAAAAGAGCGGGTAATCTGCAAAGCTAAGCCCCAAAACAGCATAGCTTTCGCCTTAGGACCCCCATGGAAACCTCATATGCCTGTTTCTGAACGAGCACAGGAACATCCAGGCCTACTGTTCCTGAACACAAGCCGTGGCTACAAACACGGTGCTAGGCGTCGGGTTTATGATTCAGGGGATCGACGCCGGCCTCGCCGCCGTCTGGAAGAGTGTCTGCAGCATTGATGACCATGACATTCAGCACTTCCTGCATCCGCTCCCGGGAGAGCTTTGACCGGGAGATGGACTTCGGTATCGTGCCCGAGCACACTCCGCAAAGGCTTAAAGCGGTGGCCACGCGGTCCGTCGCCAGAGCCATGCCGCACTCAGGAATTTCAAAGTCCGACTGCAAGCTCAACACGGCTTCTTGGGTATCCTTCGGCGCATCGGCAAAGGCGCAAAGGACGGGAATCCAGCGTCTAGTCAGCAGTGCAACCAAACGGTCTTCCCTGGTGTCCTCGGGCAGCGTCTTGCAAAAAGCATCTACGCGTTTCCGCTGCGCTGGCGAGGAGGGTGGGGTGGCCAGTAAGGGCACCTCCGCCAACAGTGTCTCATCGACTTCGGCATCTGCCACTGCCTCCACGCAGACACCTTTCAAGTCCTGCGGCCCGCGGATGCGCACCTTGGGCTGGCCTACCGTGCATTGCCACAGATGGCCATCGGCTCCAGGAAAAGCCATGGCTTCTATCACAGGCCTGCATGCCTATGCTTGCCTAAATAAGCGCGGCGCCCACTGTCAGACCTATCTCATCCTGCGGACTGTGCCCGATCCTGGTGCAGCAGTGATTGAATCCGTGAACCAGCTCGCGAATCCATGAACTACAGTATGAGGAATCCACGGCTACCTCAAACATCATGCGCTTCACAAGAGAACACGTTCGGGTTCAGGATCGGGATGCTGCCTACTGTTTGGAACTCTTGAACCGGAAGCTGCCGAGGAACAGGCTGCAGGACTGTAGGAGCTGCGGCATCCCATACCACCCGAATCCTGACCCGCTGCCGTATAGGCCAGAAACCAGTTAGTAGCAGGCTGCCAAGGAATCTCGGTGGTCTGTCATTGTATGTCATTGTAGCAGACCTACTTGTCCAGGGTTTTCACCTGCCTGAAACAGACTCGGCATCAGCTTAACAGCGGAGTCGCTCTTCGCCTCATCACTACCGCCCTTTCCGAATCTGCCTTTTCTTCAACCCGGCTGCACTTTCCATGGATGCAGTGATGCCGCCCATATACATGAATCACAGTGGTGTGGTAATTTTTCTTCTGCCTGCTGCATCTTGCTCAGCCAGTCGGGGCCCCTGTTTGGGGCACCGGCTCTGCTTTGGGCTGCCTAGGGGTGAGACATCTCTGAAAGACCCACGCTCATCAAGCTGTTACCCAAGCTGTTGCCATGGGCCTTGCGCACGGCTTGGCGATGGAGCTTTGCTCGCCCGTTTGGGGAGCGAGCTCCACGAGAACAAAGCCACGTCTCCATGGCTACATCCTCTCGAAGGATGGCATAGTCCAAAGCTCCGTTGCCAGATTCATCCGTCAGCTCGAAATCCTGACAGGAATCCCCGACGAAAACCTGCACAACCCTCTAAGCGTTGGCTTGCAAGTAGCCCTGGCCAATGGCCGCAGCTGCGCCTCTTCCTCCGCGATCAGCCCGGATGCTTCTTCCTGCTGGATGTTGCGCATCTCATCAGTCGTCCCGTCTCTGGCCATGAGCAGCAACTCCTGCAGCTAGAGCAAATCGTGTGCGGAAGGGTTCGTCAGGCCACCAACGGTTTATTACATTGCCCCGAACATGCGGTGACCGCCGCAGAAAGGATGCATCTTCCTTACATGGCACTTGCACAAGTCTGGAAAGCCGTAGGTCCATAGAAGCCTTCGAGATCCTCTGAAAACAGAACCCAGCCATCTTGGTCTCAAGCAAGAGCAAAGCCCCCCAAAAAACATCGTAGACTCACAAGGTACTACAGACTCCTGAGCTGGGGCTTGGGGCTTATCGGGTTTAGGGTTGTGGGTCTACGGCTTAACGCTTAGATTCAGAATTTAATGTCCGGCGGCCTCACAATCGCAGACCGGCGCTAGCAGGAACAAGCCCAAGCAAATGAAGTGCAAGAAGAGAGCCCTAAACCCTTCCCCTTTTGGCTGGACACCTGTGGAAATGCCTGCCGTAGCAAAGCAGCAACCTCAGGACATGGCACCTGCAGCAAATGCCAGGTCTGCCGTGAGGCTCTACTCTACGTCACGTCGTCGTACTAAGTACTGACTACATTGCAGTTACCCGTCTATTAAATAATTTGAAACATGTATCATATTATCATCCATAGCAAGCTGTTGTGGTTGTTGTGGGTATGGTTGTGGTTTTGGCCGCTGTCGCTGTCGACATCGTTGCTGCTGTAGCTGCTAATGGTATTGTGTTTGTTGATTTTGCTGTTACTATGCTTGTTGCTTGTTGCATTGCCGTTGCTGCTGCCGTTGCGATAGCGGTTGCGGTTGGGGTTGGGTTGGGGCAGGGGCTGACACTGGGGTTGTAGTTGTAGTGGTTGTAGCTGTAGTTGTAGTCAGTAGTTGTATAGTTGCTAGTGGCTAGCAAGTGAAGTCAGTGGTGCGTAGTTGGTAGCGGTACTAGTAGTACTAGTGCTAGTTGTAGTACAAGGCGTCGTCATGGTAGCAGTGGTAGTGGAGTAGCTACTAGTTAGTAGCTAGAATGTAAAGGTTAGTGGTTGGTGAGTAGTAGTAGCAGTAGTAGTAGTAGTCGTCGTCGTCGTAGTGGTCGTAGTAGTAGTAGTAGTAGTAGTAGTAGTAGTAGTAAAAGTAAAAGTAAGAGTAAAAGCAAAAGTAAAAGTAAAAGTAAAAGTAAAGGTAAAAGTAAAGGTAAAGGTAAAGGTAAAGGTAAAAGTAGTAGCAAAAGTCAAAGTAAAAGTAAAGGAGAAAGTAAAAGTAAAAGAAAAGTAGCAGTAAAAGTAGTAGTACAAGTAGTAGTAAAAGTAGTAGTACAAGTAGTAGTAAAAGTAGTAGTAGTAGTAGTAGCAGTAGCAATAGCAGTAGCAATAGCAGTAGTAGTAATAGCAGTAGTAGTAGTAGTAGTAGTAGTAGTAATAGTAGTAGTAGTAGTAGTAGTAGGTAGTAGGTAGTAGGTAGTAGGTAGCAGGTAGTAGGTAGTAGGTAGTAGGTAGTAGGTAGTAGGTAGTAGGTAGTAGGTAGTAGGTAGTAGGTAGTAGGTAGTAGGTAGTAGGTAGTAGGTAGTAGGTAGTAGGTAGTAGGTAGTAGGTAG